TAGTAGTAGTAGTAGTAGTAGTAGTAGTAGTAGTAGTAGTAGTAGTAGTAGTAACATTTGTGTAATTGCTTTAAGGTTGGCAGAGTACTTTCAAATACCATCTCATTTTATCAATCTTCCTCAACTTGTGTTGGTCAAAATAATTCATCCTCTATGGGCCAAGTGGCTAATGGTGAATTTTTCCCAATAGAGTCATTTTGGTACTCCCACAACAGACACACAATCTCCCAGGAAGCCTATACTCAAAACTTTAAAAAAAAAAAAAAACTTATTTGGATCTGCCAGAGCTTATGCTCTTCCTTCTGCATATTTGTTACTCCACACCATGATAAGGTGTGAGAGAAGGACTCTGGTGGAAGAAACAAGCAATAACAAACCAAAAAATGGAAAACAACCAAAACTGATTATACACTGCTAAGGGCAGCTACCTCATTCAACCCTTTCCATTTCCCATATATCAAGTAGTGAAAGCGTTCAAACCAATGCTTGTTGTTGTTTTTAATAGGCTACTTTGCTAACCAAGTGGGCCAGGTACTATGAACAAAATTGGTTCAAGACTTACAAGATGTTATGAAGAGATTTTTTGAAACATAGACCATATGAAATAAGCCATACGCCAATACCCACAATGGATCTAGGATCTCCCTGATGTGGGTAGTCCTTTCAACAATGGAGATACTTTCCATTCCTGACCATGCTGCATGATTCTCATCTATGTCCTCCCATAAATTTACTATTTAAGGGCTCCATCCAATAACATACTAACCTTCCTCATGTTCTCTTTACACTGTGTGGATACCAGTGGAGTGCACAGGCACCCCATCAGTTGTCCTTCTCTCTTACTTTATGACTAGTCCATTGTTTCTTTCATTAACCATATGGAGCCCATACTCAAAGTTTTTTGAAGTTGGTTGGACCTACCAGAGCTCATGCTCCTCTTTCTGCATATTTATTACCCACAGTCCCCTCTACCCCAATAAGATATGAGAGAAGAATGCTAGTGAAAGAAACACACAACGAGTAACCAAAAATTCAAAATCAAACAAAACTGGTGATACATAGCTAAGGACAAGCTATCTCACTCACCCAATCCCCGTTTTCCATATGTCAAGTAGCAAAAGAGTTCAAATCAATAATGAGGAGGAGGAGGAGGAGGAGGAAGAGGATTAAAAAGGAGGAGATGACCAAGTGGTCCAGGGACTATGCACAAAGTTGGTTCAAGGCTGATACATTCAAATCAGTTTCTTTTAGTGACATATGGCATCTTGGAAATATTTGTCAATTCAGAACCAATGAAATCATCTCACTCTGTTCTAGAAAAAGAACACAGAAGAAAGGTCTCTCTGTGTCTACTGGAAAGCACTGGGAGAGGAGGGAGGTGTCTGGTCCAAAGATCATTGCAACCTCAACAAGTCCAATGAAACACACACTAGCTGCAGCTGCACCCACTTGTCTACCTTTGCTGTCCTGATGGCTCCCAAATCACAGGTGTGTATGTCATGCCCATTCAAACCAAAGCCTCCAAATAAATCTGCTATAAGTAGAATCATAGACCCCTAGTGGGAAAAGTCCATGGAGAGTGAGGTCATGGGTTCTTTTCCTCTGTTGCTAGGTAACCCTAGGATGAAACTGTTTCTAACAAGTGAAAAATGTCCCTGTTTCTTAAGTGAAGGTGATGTCATGGGTTTCCTAAATAATCTTTGCCAACCTTAATTATTCCCACTGTGTGTTTAACCAAACTGAGTCTCCCAGACTACACGTTGATATTTTCTCTTGTCTTCCTAGATTAAGGATGGCTGATTACTATCCTCTGTGTATCTTGATTCAGTCCAATGTAACAAACATTTATTAAGTTCCAGTCTCTATTCTAATTGCTGAAGATAAAAGAACAAACATGAAACAATTCCTCCTTTTAAGGAACTTATATTCATTCTACTGGGAGAAAGTAAATGTTCTCTCTACTTCCTATAAAAGTTATTAAATTATTCCTCTGTCTTCTTTTCATCAAGCTAAATCATCAAAATTTCAATCACTTTTCTACATCAACCTTATTTTCCAAACATTCCACCCTTTCAAAGGTTTATCCCCAGTGCTCTATTTCCATCTAAACCAGGGGTTCTTAACCTGTTGTATATAGAACATATGTTTCAGGGGTCCATGAACTTGGATGAGGAAAAAAAATCATTATTTTCTGCCTTCTAACTGAAATTTAGCATTTCCTTCCATTATGAATACAGAAAATAAACCACCATTCTGAGAAAGGGTCCATAGACTTCACCAGACCACCAAAAGGGTTCATGACACACACACAAAAAAAAAGATATTGGGGCAGCTAGGTGGCACAGTGGATAGAGCTCTAACCTTGGAGTCAGGAGGACCTGAGTTCAAATCTGACCTCAGATACTTGACACTTACTAGCTGTGTGACCCTGGGCAAGTCACTTAACCCCAATTGCCTCACCAAAAAAAAGATATTAAGAATTTCTGCTCTAAACTAGTTACAGAGATGGACACTAGCTAGCTCACCTTCTTTACTCACATTTGAGTTCTTCAAGGATCTGACTTCAACTATGGAGATCACAGAATCACTCTTAGAACTAGAAGGAGGGTCAGCTAGGTGGCACAGTAGATAGAGCACTGGCCCTGAAGTCAGGAAGACCTGAGTTCAAATCCAGCCTCAGACCAAACACTTGACACTTACTAGCTATGTGACCCTGGGCAAGTCATTTAACCCCAATTGCCTAAAAACAAAAAAAACTAGAAGGAATCTCAGGGATAGTATATTTTGCAGGTGAGGAAACTGAGACCTGGGAGGTTCAGTGACTTAACCAAACTCACACATGTAGTAAGTGTCAGAGGTAGAATTTGAACCCAGATCTTCCGACTCTAGATAGAGTGAATGAAGATCATAATGCCTCTATCCCTTATGCCTCTGTACATTAACAGATAGCCTTTGCTAGTTGCTGTGATGGAAAAGATTCATTATCTAGTTACTAAACTTGGGTTGTACTATCTTCCTTTAATAAGACTGGTACTCAAACAACAGGAAAAAAAATGAACTAATGCTGAGTTACCCATGAAGCCTTTCTGACTTCCAGATGTTTCCTGTTGCTATAGTTGTATATAGTTAAAACTGTACTTGGGGCAAATTCAGTTGAACTAGAAGAGAAGTTCAGTAGTTCAAAGCAGGACTATAGGATCAGTCAGCAAGCATTTATGAAGCACTTACTGGGTGCTAGCTGCTATGCTAAGTGCTGGAGATACAAAGAAAGGGGGGAAAACCAATCCCTGATCTCAAGGATTTCACAGTGCAAGGCACCAAAAAGGTGTTGCTCCCCCCCCATAAAATCTCAAAAGGGTACTTGTGCCCTAAGCCACCAAAAGACCATGAAGAAAAGTGAGCAGAGTAGCCTTGTGGCAGAAATGCCCCAATCCCAGGAAAGAAACACACACATTAATGTTGGCACCCTAGGTCAAAGTTCCATTTCCCCACTCTAGTTATAGTTCTGCTAGCATGGACTTCAAGGCCCCAGAATCATCTCCCAGAATCACTGAAGCTCAGAGTCGAATGGGACCATCTGGTTGTAGTCCTACCTACCACTGGGAAAGAATCCTATCCACGATATTGCCAACAAATGCTCATCAAACTCTTGCTTAAAGATCTCTAGCGCAATCTGAATACAGGTTATTCAATCAATCAATCAATCAAATCAAGATGCATTGATTAAGTCCCAGGCACTGTGCTAGCCATTGTGGATACAAAACAAATAAAATAACCCTTGCCCTCAGGGAGTTTACATTTTAACAGGGGAGACAAACGATATAAAATACATATACAAAACATGGGCAGTTGGAGGAGGGGGAGGCACTGGCAGGTGCACAAGGTTTCACTTGAGCCAAATCTTAAAAGAAATTAAGGATTTCAAGAGGAAGAAGAGAAGAAGGAGTGGGATGGAGGCGTGAATTGGGGGAGGTGGGACAAGCTAGTGCAAAGGCCCAAAGAGGAGCAAAACCAAGAAGGCCAGTTTGACTGGACTATGGAGTGAAGAGTAATAAGTCTAGAAAGAAAGGGTGGGGGCAGGTTATGAAGAGTTTTGACTGACAAGTGCAGGCATTTATATTGACTTTGTAGTAGGCAGATGTCACTGTTAAATATACGCTTTAGGAAAATCACTTCAGCAGCCATGTGGAGGATGGATTGGAATGGGAGGAAACTTGAGTCAGGCAGTCCAGTTAGAAGGCCATTGCAATCATCCAGGCAGGAGATGATGAGGGCTTGAATGAGGGCTGGGAGGTGGAGAAAGGGGGATGGATGTTAGATATGTCATTAAGGTCAAATAGACAGATTTGGCAATTGATTAGATACATGGGCTGAAGGAGAATGAGGAGTCAAGAATGACACCAGTGTTGCAAACCTAGGGGGCAAGTAGGTGGCTCTCTCAAAAATAACAGTCAAATTCAGAAGAGGGATGAGTATGAGGGAAAATATAATGAGCTCTGTTTTGGACATCTTAAATTTGAGATGCCCATAGGATATCCAATTCAAGATGCCCAATGGGCAACTGGATATACAGGATTGTAGTTCAGGGTAGACTACAGCTGGGTATACAGATCTGGGAGTCATCCATATAGATATGACAATCAAACCTCTGTGTGTTGATGAGGTCGCCATGTAATAGTATAGAAACAGAAGAAAATAAGATCCAAGACAGAGCCTTGGGGGCAACCATGGTTAGAGACATGACATGGATGATGATATAGCAGAGGAGAATGAGAAACAGTGGGCCAATACACAGGAGGGGAACTAAGAGTGGACAGTAACACAAAAACCCAGAGAGGGAAGAGTATATAGCAGAGGATGGTCAGGAGTGTCAAATACTGTAGAAAGGTTAAGAAGGATTAACATTATGAAAAGGTCAATGGATTTAGCAACTAAGAACACTTTAGAGAAGGCAATCTCATTTGATTCATGAGGTCAAAAGCCAGATTGTAAGGGGTTTAGAAGAGAGTGAAAGGAGAGGAAGTAAAGAATAAATATAAACAGCTTTTTCAAAGAGTTTGGTTCAGAAGAGGAGAAATCTAGGATGGTAGCTAGTGGGGATGATGAGATCTATCGAGGATATTTTTAAGGATAGAGAAAAGTTGGGCTGTTGCCTCCATTTAGGCAGTGGACTGGGACCAGAACCGGTTGTGGATGGGGATAGAGATGATGGGGCCAGAGGTAGATGAGACTGAATTGACAAGACTTAATGAGATTTGGTTATTGGGAGCAAAGGAGAGAGAAGACTTCTCTTAGTCATTAGAGGTCTTCAAACAGAGGCTAGATGACTACTTCTCAGGCATGTTATGTTGGAAATTCCTGTTTTAAAGATGAGAAAACTAAAGTTCAGAGAGGTTAGTGACTTGCCAATAGTCACACAGTTCATAAGTGACTAAGCCACAATCCAAATTCAGGCCTCCAGGTTGATGAACTTTCCCCTTCCTTTACACCAAAATCAAGTAAAGTCAACAAATATTTATTAAGCATTTATTATGGGGTGGGCACTATGCCTCTCCAACCCCAGAACCAAAGAACAAGAAAGCGTGATTGCCATTTCTTCTTTGTGGAAGAAGGAGGAAGAAGACTGTGTGCTGACAGTGCTGACGTTCGTGGGGCTGAGCCTCTCCCTGCTGTGTCTCTTTCTGGCTGCCCTCACCTTCCTCCTGTGCCGCACCATTCAGAACACCAGCACCTCCCTCCACCTGCAGCTTTCGCTCTGCCTCTTCCTGGCTGATCTCCTCTTCCTCATAGGAATTAAACAAGCCAAAAATCAGGTATAAATGGCATCCCAAAGCACTGGCCCCTGACTGCCCCCATTGCAGACACACATGCCAAGAAATGGGAGCAGCTAGTAGATGTTGGAATTCTTGTTACCTGTGACATTGCAATGTCCTGTTCTCTCTTTAATTTTTTTTAATGGCTCTGGGCCCTGAGGGAGGGTGATGTATAAAGGAGATTATCCAAGCACTTCGCTCCAGACCCAAAAGCTCTTCTGACATTGTATCCCTGCCCTGCCAGGTCCTATGTTCCATTATTGCAGGTTTATTACATTATTTCTACCTGGCCTCTTTCACCTGGATGCTGCTGGAAGGCCTGCATCTCTTTCTAACTGCACGCAACCTGATGGTTGTCAATTACTCCAGAGTAAGCCAATCAATGAAGAAGGTCATGTATCCTCTGGGCTATGGGATTCCAGCTGTGATTGTGGCTATTTCTGCAGCATCAAGAGCAGATCTTTATGGAACGTCTTCCCAGTAAGTAGAGCTTATTCATCCCTGGGTGCTGCCATCCATTGAAGATGCTAGAACACTAGGTGGGAATAAGGAGAGAATAAATTGTCTTTGTGTTCCCGTGCCTAGCACAGTGCCTTGAACATATAGACAATTTTTGTTGTTGAGTTGTTTTCAGTTGTATCTGACTCTTTGTGACCCCCCCCCATTGGAGTTTCCTTAGCAGAGATACTGGAATGCTTTGGCATTTCCTTCTCCAGCTCATTTTACAGATGAGGAAACTGAGGGAAACAGGGTGAAGTGACTTGCCCAGAGCCGCACAGGTAGCAAGTGTCTGAGGCCAGATTTGAACTCAGAAAGATGAGTCTTCCTGACTCCAGGCCTGGTATTCTATCCACTGTGTCACCTAGCTGCCCATGTAGGCTATTAACAAACACTTATTGAATCAAAATAAATCAAATTGAATTGAATTGAGATATCAAGCTAGAAGTTTCCTGGCTAAACTTTAGTGTACTTTATGTGATTGTCTTTGGCCCACAGATCTTTAAGTTTTAATAGGAAAATCTGAGCAATGCATCAGAGATAATTGGGCTTATCACAGAGATAATTGGGCTTAAGACAACAACCCCACCTTATCACGTGGGTTACAGAGCTCCTACCAACTGTACTCCCATTCAGGAAAAATGGGGGTGGGGATGCTTTTAATAGACTATTGTTATGGTGGAATCCTTAGGATTTTCATGCAGGATCTTGTGGGCTACAATCAAAGAAAGCTTTTTTAAAGCATAAAGTGGTTTGCCTAATTTATCAACAAAAGTAAAAATCGCTTTGAAAATGACAGAAACATTCTGATCCAGACGAACAGTCTTTCTGTCCATAGACTAGAGCCCAGCAATTTAAGCAGCTGAAAAGTCTTCTTAGAGTCCTAATGGTGGAGACTGTGTTATATTAAGTACAGTAAGTATTGTGGATAGGATACTGAGAAGGGACACAGGTGCTCAAAGGATCGTGAGTCAGGTGGTTTATGACTCACAGGCAAGCAAGCAGGCTGCTCCTCATTCCTAGCATCCTAGGGGCAGCACAGGTAGTGGGATGTATACCCTGGATGAGAGTCCAGAACTTTGGGTCTCTGACTTTCTATCTAATTGTTGTTGCTGGGCAGATTCACAGGGACTGGATGGAAGGGGAATCAATCAGCAGGTGATCTAGACTATTACCCACATACACACACTTATTAACCCACAAGGGCATTGTGATTGGGAAAGTTTGCTAACCTTACATACATGAATTAGATCATGCGTGCTAAACCTATTATGATCAAGAGGGTTTTGCATTCCTTGACTAAATGTAGCAGACCAAACCAATATTGGGTAGATAGGAACTTCCCGATACCCAGGCAGGTGGTCAAACATGGAGTTAACTTCTGTTAGCCAGGACATAGCAATAAGCAGTTATCATAAATCTGGGATTTTTATATGCATAAGCATATATATCATTTATATGAATATATAAATAAGTGTATATGTATATAATGCATATTGGAGACATAATAAAAATATATACATACAGCTAGATATAACATCTGTGGCACCCCTCTCTCACACATGAGGTCTTAAAAATAGCAGCCACAGATCCAAGGTATTCCTTGGGTCCTTATCTGTTCAAAAATATAGCTCATAAACTCCATCAATCTTTACTTTTTCTCTAGTCAGCCAGAGGACACAATTAGTTCAAAGCAAACAGTTAATGAAATCACATTGGAAGAAGATTTGAAATAGAACTTTTGCCCTATAAATATAGGGCATACCATCATACAAATATACATATCATCAGTGTGAAGAGTGACTTAGCATAGGAATCAACCAACGAACATTTATTAAGCATTTACTTAATACCAGGCAGTGTAGTGAGGGCTAAGGTTGCAAAAAGAAGAAAAAGATAATCCCTGCCCTCAATGAGCTTACAATCTAATGGAGGGAAGGGACAACATGCAAACAAAGATATATAAACAAGCTATATGCAGGATAAATAGGAAATAATTAACAGAAGGAAGGCACTAGAATTAAGGTTTGAAAAAGGCTTCCTGCGGAAGATGGGATTTTCCACCAGTAAGGAACATATGGTGAGCACAGGGAGGAGCTCACACCTCCAGTACTATAGGATCCTGGTTATCTTCTGGTGATGTTGTCAAGTTTCTCTCCCTTGGCCTGCTCTTCTCTGGGTCTGGTGACTCCACTGGGTACATACTGGTCTTGTTCCTTAACGGTTTTGTGTTGCCTACCTGGGCTCACTGGGCACAGTGTGCCTACTCTATTAGACCCTCCTGGTCTCAAGTTACATAGTCTTCACTGGGACATTGCTCTACTTGTCTCAGTGTCTCTCTATCAGATATTGCTCCTTGCTATTATCTTCTTGATGCTTCCCTTCAGGACCAGCCAAGCCATCTGTGCTTCAGTCTGCTAGGGTATAGTGGCCAGACCTTCTCCCTTATGAAAACAGGCCGACAGTTCTCTAATTATAACTATCGCATCCAATTAACGAAAGCCAGGAAGAGTGCCCTTGGTCTAAGATTAGGTCTTTCCCTTTTTATTCATATGCCTGCATAAGATATCAAAACCTTCTGTTACCAATAACTAATTTAGAGTTTGGACTTATTTATTCCTGAGATCCTTCTTGCCTCAGCTATAAAAGAATTTGAACCAGAACCAAAAAAAAAAAAAGGTAGACTAAGGAGACATGGTCAGTATTCTCATCAACCTCAACCAAATTCCTATCTTTGTTATGTACAGAGGAATCTGGCAGAGTGGATAAAGAACTGACCTTGAAGCCAGGAAAACCCGAATTTGAGTCTTGCCTGACATAGACTGACTCTATATCCCTAGGCAAGTCGTTAGACTTCATGATGTCCTAAGCAACTTTCCACAAGCATCATTTCCTGAGAAGGTTCAATCTGCCCTATGAGAGGGCGTGTCTTTACTTGGGAGTTCCCTACACCAGTGCAATCCTAGTTCCCAACCAGATCCTTGTTATGCACATCTCTGATCACCATCCATTTTTGCTGCAGAATTTAAAACAGCAAAATCAATCTCCCTACACATGTATACCTATGATTTAGCCAGTGTAGGAACCCCAGGGATCCAGGGGCAGCATTGCCTAGTGGGTAGAATACTGGACTTTGAATCAGGAAGACCTGGATTCAAAATCTGTCACTTACCAGCCCCGTAACTATGAACAAGTTACTTCTCCTCTCTGGCCTCAGGCAATTCCTTAAGACAACAACAATAATTAATTAATAATAGCTACCACTTACATAGCACTTTAAAGCCTGCCAATCACTTTGTATAGATTATCTTACTTGAATCTCACAATAAAAATAACTAGCATTTCTGGAACATCTTAAAGTTGGAAAGGTGCTTTACGTATATTATTTCATTTGATCCCCACAATAACCCTTTGAGGTGGCTGTTAATATTAGCCCCATTTTATAAATGTCTAAATGGAAGTTGAGAGGTTAAGTAAGAAGAACTCACACAGGATAAGCATTCACATGGTGGTCAGAAGAAGCGATACAAGGACACTCTCAAGGTCACTCTGAAGAACTCTGGAATTGATTGTGTGACATGGGAGATGCTGGCACAGGACCGCTCAGCATGGCATGCTGTGCTGTGTTCATCAGAGAAAGTGCTGTGTTCTATGAGCAAAGCAGAATTGAAATAGCTCAGAAAAAGCACAAGATGCACAAATTTAGAGGATTCACCCCAAATGTTCTCACAGAGTATTTGTGCCCTACCTGTGGTAGAACATTCCAAGCTCATATTGGTCTGATCAGCCACAGTGGGACTCACTGAAACTTGACTCTAGCATGGTGATGTCATTTTGGTCCTCTTCGAGAACAAAGGACAACAACCAGCCTACTTGCCACGGAACATCCAGCTAGTATATGTCCCATTCGGGTTTTGCTGACTTCAAGTCTATATAAACTCAGCATAGATTAGAAGCAGATTGTGATCTGTGCTGTTAGAAATAGTTCCCACACTAGCAGCTCCCACAGTGACAAGATCATAGGAACAAATATGTGGCACTTTCAAGTTTGTAAAAGACTTTCCATGAATCATCTCATTTGAACTTCACAACTCTGTGAGGGGTTTTATTATTATCACTATTTTACAGATGAAGAAACTGAGTCTCTGGGGAGTATTGTGGGAGTATGAGTATGGATATATGCATGAGCGTCTGCAGCACTGCATCAGACCACAGACAGTTAAATGGTTTTTGTTGACATCAGTAGGTATACCTAACAAACTAACCCAGGATTCCTTTCACATCATCCAAAGCTCTCTGCTCAAGTTGGGGAAGTCTCCATCTCACCACGGATTAAGAAAGATTTCATACCCATCAATGTTGATGTGCTCGGCCACCAGGGCTTACTAATTGTGCTTCCTTCTCTGTCTTAGCTGCTGGCTCCAGCTGAATAAGGGATTTCTCTGGGCTTTCCTTGGACCAGTCTGTACTATAGTCTGTGTAAGTGAACAAATTACAATGTAATTCTAGCCACTAGACAGAGGGATCTCCAGGAAGCTAGAGGGGTGTCAGGAGCAAGAACCAATGATCCTGGGGGGGTCAGGTGGCAGCGTTAGTCATGTAGGCATGTATGTTTGTGTGTGTGTATGTGTGTGTGTGTGTGTGTGTGTGTGTGTACATGCATACATGTGCACAATGCAGTAACTAATGCTAAATCCAAACTCAGAGTAGCCAGGTTTGGAAGTAGATGACCAAGATGGGGCTCAGGTTTCAGGTGAAACACTTGAGCCAACAAATTTTGTATTGTTCCCACAGGTAAACTTTGTTTTTATTCTTCTGGTCCTTTGGATTTTGCAAAGCAAACTTTCGTCCCTCAATAGTGAGGTGTCTACTCTCCAGGACACAAGGTAAGATAAAGCAAAAGATCCTTAGTCCCTGGGCAGTCTCTGAAAGGCAAAGCCATGTTTCCTGGTTGGGTTCAATGTCATATCTAAGTGTACCTCACAGACTCGTAGGATTACAGATTTGGACCTGGATGGGACATTATAGAACATGTAGTCCAAATCCCCTCTTTTAGAAATAAGGAGGGGCAGCTAGGTGGCATAGTGGATAGAGCACTGGCCTTGGAGTCAGGAGGACCTGAGTTCAAATCTGGTCTCAGATCAGACACTTGACACTTACTAGCTGTGTGACCCTGGGCAAGTCACTTAACCCCAATTGCCTCACTAAAAAAAAGAAATGAGGAAACTGAGACCCAAGGAGAACAAGTGACTTGTCCAGGACCATACAGGCAGTAAATAATAGAAAGAGGATTCAAACCGAGTCACTCTGACTCCAAGTCAGCATTATATTAACTATGTAAAGATGTCAAAATAAAGATGATGGTGCTCATCCCATATGGAGCAATGGAGCTGAATCTTCATAAAAGGAGGGATTTAATCCCATCGCTGAAGGTAGGCTTAAGAAGCAAATAATTTGCCAACCTATATGGCAAGGGAGTTAAGAAGTTTTATTCTCTTCAGCCTCTCCTTTTCCTTGGCCCAAGTTCTTCTAGGTTTGGTCCAGGGTTTGAGGAGGGGGTGGGGACTCTCATTTGCATATATTACATTTTTGTTATTTGTTTTTCAATCATATCTGATTCTTTATGACTTCATTTGAGGTTTTCTTGGCAAAGATACTGGAGTAGTCTGCCATTTCCTTCTCCAGCTCATGTTACAGATGAGGAAACTGAGGCAAACAGGGTTAAATGACTTGCCCAAGGTCACACAGCTAGTAAGTATCTGAGGCTGGATTTGAATTCAGGAAGATGAGTCTTCCTGACTCCAGGCCTGGCACTATCCACTGTGTCACCTTGCTGCCTTATAGTATTTCATAAATTATCAAAATTCAGCTCATATTTAATCTCATCCCAGTTTAAATGCTAAGAAAATTCCAAAATATAGTTGACACCTTATTTATCCATTAAGTTTTTTATTTCCACCCTAGTTTTACATGACAAAAAAAAAAAAGAAAAAGACTCACTTTTTCATTTAAGTTCATTTACTACAAAAATTCAAAAGAGGACATAGTATTGAGACTCCCAAATGCTGCTTCCTATTTGAGTTTAAAAAAAAAAAGTCAAGGCATGTAGCACTCTAGCACTTGTGCCACCTGGGGCAAGCAGGATGAAACACACCCTGGACAGGTCAGAGGAATGGGAGAAGAGTAGGCCAGGCTGGGGAGAAACTTCAAAGGAATATGGCTGCAGGGTGAGGAAACAGAGAAGGGCACAAGAATTTAACAAGCACCAACTATGTGCCAGGTACTGTGCTAAGTGCTTTAGAAATATTATCTCATTTGACCATCATACCAACCCTGTGAGTAGGTGTCATTATTGTCTTCATTTTACAGTTGAGGAAACTGAGGCAGATGGAGTTTAAGTGACTGGCCCAAAGTCACACAGCTAGAAAGTATCTGAAGTAAGATTTGAACTCAGGTCTTTTCTGATTTCAGGCCCAGCGCTCTATCTGCTATACCATGTAGCATCTGGTAGTTTCCTATTCTTACTAATTATTCTTGCCAACTAAGTGCTAAGCTCAATTGTTTCTAAGCTGTTGATGAATTACATTTGCATCTAGTACCCTAAAATAGAACTCTAGTCATGCCTTCATTATGCCTCTGGAGACTTGACCTTATTTCAATCAGAATCCCCAGGCCTAAGCAATGGGTAGACAAAGGTTTTCCAGTGAAAAAGAAGTTTGTATGAAAATTTTGAAAACCATTCAAAATGTGTCAAGTGAATGACAGACAGATCCATAAATGTTTATTGAGGAGAAGTCAAGCTTTTGGAAGATGCTTAACTAAGATTTACAAGACAGCATTCCGTATTACTCTGAGTCAGTCCCTACCCAAGGCAGAACACTGTCCCAGGCAGACATTGCCCAGGCCCACTTTTGTAAAAAAGACACTAAGTTGTTGGTTTTCAGTCATGTCCAACTCTCCAGAACCCTTTTGGAGTTTTCTTGCCAAAGATATTGGAGTTGTTCATCTTTTCCTCCTCCAGCTAATTTTTACAGATGAGGAAACTGAGGCAAACAGGGTTAAGTGACTTGCTTAGGGTCACACAGTTACTAAGTGCCTGAGACCAGATTTGAATTCTAGTCTTCCTGACTCCAGGTCCAGCACTCTGTGCACTATGGCACCACCTAGCTGCCACTGAGAGTGAAGACTAAAACTCAGTCCTCCATCTGAGGACTTAGTCCGTAGAATTTATGTCTATGGAACTCAAGTCTATGGAACTTATCATAAGACTCAAGCAGAAACCAGGATTGCTGCCAAGGGGGCTGAGAGGCAGATGCTCTCAGAACACATAACAGATTCTCGCCTTGCACTCCTATTTAGGTTGCTGACATTTAAAGCCCTGGCTCAGTTGTGTATCCTGGGCTGCACCTGGTGTCTGGGCATTCTGCAGATTGGCCCAGCTGCTTGGATCATGGCTTATCTCTTTACTATCATCAACAGCCTGCAAGGAGTCTTCATCTTCCTGGTGTACTGTCTCCTTAATCATCAGGTGAGTTTTCTTTCCACTTCTCCTTTTCCTCTCCCTCATTGCACACAGTGAACTGACCCAGAGACTCCTTTGACTTTCCAGGTTCAGGAACAGTACAAAAAATGGTTCATGACAATCAGGCAAACAAAATCCAGATCTGAGTCACTTGTGCTCTCAAGCAACGTTGTCTCTGGCTCCACCCAGACCCAGACAGTAAGAAAATCCACTGCCCTTTTAATACCTGCTCATCATGTTGCCCATGCTACTAAATCCCTTGATTCTCTCTGTCTTCTCACAGAGCAGTCCAGGGTCAGAATCACTGACCCATAGGCTGGCTTGACCCTGATATGGGCCATTGGCTTCTCCTTTAATAGCTCCATATTTCTTAAAGGGCATTATATTCTGTTAAGGCAGCATTTTCTCTCTTCCTTGCCTCTGTTATCCTGAGTAGAGATAAAAAAAAAAAAAAAAAAAAAGACAGGCACCACCATCCCTGGAATCCTGAGTTACATCTCTATGCCTAATAAGAATAATGACTAGGGGTTGATAGGTGGCCCAGTGGATAGAGTACTGGCCCTGGAATCAGAAGGACCTCAGTTCAAATCCAGCCTCAGACACTTGACACTTACTAGCTGTGTGACCCTGGGCAAGTCACTTAACCCTAATTTCCTTGCAAAAACAATAATGACTAGCATTTGTGTCACACTTTATGGTTCGCATAGTACCATTGTAGAGTGGCACAGTGAATAGAGCACCAGGCTTGGAGTCAGGAAGACTCATCTTCATGAGTTCAAATCTAGCTGTGTTACCCTGGGCAAGTCACTTAACCTTATTTGCCTCGATTTCCTCATCTGAGAAGGAAATGGCAAACCACTCTAGTATCTTTGCCAAGAAAACCCCAAATGGGGTCACAAAGAGTAAGACACAACTGAAACAACAACAGACAAGAAACATATGGCAGACAGAGATTAAGTGACTCATCCAGGGTCACACAGTAAATGGCTGAGGCCAGATTTGAACTCAGGTTTTTCTTATCAATGCTCTATCAACTGTGCCATCTAACTATCTCTTGTTTTAGACATTCTCCTTCTATCAAACCAGGGCTAGACAAGAGGATTCGTGATGCTCTTCCTGATGTGTCATTTCACCCATGCTCACGGTCTGACTGGCTGAATCCAGAGGAGAAGTCATTCTCTCAGCTTTAGGCTTTTTTCCCTAAATCTGTGTGTACATCTCGCCATCTCTGCTTTTTGTTTATCTCTTCCAGGAGAATCAAAATGAAAAACTTCTCAGTCCCAATGGGCAGGAAAACCCTGCTCATTGATATAGAACTCCTGTCCTGCCATCAGCCTGGCCTCACAAAGAAGTGAGGTAAAGAAGAGTAAAGAATATACTGGGCAGTTGAGGGAGGAAACAACACTTCTGTGCCCTTCCTCAAATTGAAGGTTCTAGGGAGAACTCACCAATGTGGGAAGGGGCAGAGAGAGGAAGCAGCCAATGCATGGTAGCAAAGTCAAAATGATCATGCTCGTACCTTGCCAAACCGCAACCCTGACTCAACACTGTGGTCCTTCTAGATGATCTCTCTTCTCTGGGTTTTTATGACTCTGCTCTTTCTTAATTCTCCTACCTATGCAACTATGTCTTCTCAGTCTCATAGGTTGACTCTTCATGTCACAGGAACTAAGTGGAGGTGTAAAGAAGGGTATGCTGGTAAATGTTTAACAATCAGATTAGAGTGTGGGGGGGGAGGTGTTGAAAATGTCGGCTGAGAACATTTTTAAGTTGCATCTGCACTGTTAACATTTTCTCAAGTTCAGACAATCAACAAAACAATAAATCAAGCCCTGTTTGGTAGCATTTGCCAACTTCTGAGGGGTAAATGCTCACATTGTAAAATAATTAAGGATATTTTATACCCAACCCTTGCATCATGCCTAGCACTACTGGAAGAAGTCACACAAACGTGCCAGTCCAACCTGGTTCTCCTACAAATTTCAGTTATCTAATCTCAATTGGGCCCCAGTTGTTCTTTGCCAAATCTTTCATTTTTTAATGATTGACTCAATGTTGTGCTCCACCTTAGGGGCTGTTCCAAACCTTCTCTCCTTGCCGCAATCCTTCTACTTCATCTATTTCATTCTTCTTCTCAGTAGAGAACTTTGTTTCATGGTTTGTTGTTGTCTTCCCCCCGGGAAAATAAAGTGAATTCATCACGAAATCATTCTTCTCCTCTATTCATTCAATGAACCAACAAGCATTTATTTAATGCCTATTATGTGTGTTTAGAACCATATTATAATTGAAGAAATGTTTAAGGGAAAATAGGCCCAATGTCTTAGAAGATAGAAATTGAAAGAAAACACTGAAATCACCTGCTGAAAATGATTCCAAAATGGAAACTCCCAGCAATACTACAGTCAAAATCCAGAGCTCCCAGGTCAAGGAGAAAATATTGCAAGCAGCCCAAAAGAAATCATTTAAATACCATGGAAGGTCAGGATCACACAAGATTTAGCAACTTCTATATTAAAAGGAGCAGAAGGCTTGGAATATGAGATTCCAAAAGGTAAAAGAGCTAATATTACAATCAAGAATAACCCACCCACCAAAACTGAAAATATGCCTTTTGGGGGGAAATTGGATATTTAATGAAATAGAAGACTTTCAAGCATTCCTGATAAAAAGGACCAAGGCTGAATAGAAAATTTGACATTCAAATATAAGTCCTCAGCCCTCATTTGGGGTTGTTTGGCCTAACTGAGGCAGCCTTTTTGACCCATTTTGTTAACAGATTTGTACACTCTATTAATAAACTGATAAAGCTCAGAAATTTTGAGCCTCAGACTAGTTTTATTAATTTCTATCACCACAAGGTCAAAGAACAAATCATAGAAACAACTATTAATTTTAATGAAGACAATTAAAACAATAAGATAACATACGAAAATTTGTAGCATGAAGCCTAAGTAATATTTAGGGGGAAATGTATATCTCTAAATGTTATATCAATTTTTAAAAAGAGAAAAAGCAGATCAATGACTTGGGCATGCAATTTAAAAAAAAACTAGAAAAAGAACAAATTTTAAATCTCCAAATGAACACCAAAATAGAAATCCTGAAAACCGAAGGAGACACTAATAAAATGGAAAGTAAAAATAAATAAACTAAAACCATCAAATTCACAAATAAAACTAGAAGCTGGTTTTATGGGGGAAAACAATAAAAACAGACAAATCGTTGGTTGATTTGATTTTAAAAAAAAAAAGAAAACTACCAGTATAAAAAATAAAAAGTGTGACTACATCACTAATGAAGATGAAATTAAAGCAATTGGGAGCTATTTGGCCCAATTGTATGGCAACAAAACTGACAATCTAAGTGAAATGGATGAATTATTTGTAAAAATATAAATTGCCCAGATTAACAGAAGAGGAAATAAAATACTTAAATAATCCTGCCTTAGAAAAAGAAATTGAACACACCATGAATGAACACCCTAAGAAAAAATCCACAGAATCAGGTGGATTTACAAGTGAATTCTACCAAACACTTAAAAAACAATTCTAACATGATATAACTGTTTGAAAACATAGATAAAGGGGTCCTATTCCAGGACTATCTTTCTGTGACACAAATATGGCTTTGATAGTTAAACCAGCAAGCAGAAAAATACATAAGGAAAACCACAAACCAATTTCTTTAATGAATATTGATGCAAAATTTTTAAATAAAATATTAACAGCAATGTATCACAAAGATCATACCCCCTAATCAACTGGGATTTATACCAGTAATGCAGAACTGGTTCAATTTAGGAAAACTATAAACATAGTTGACCACATCAACAAGAAAAATGAAAAAAATCGTGATTATCTCAATAGATGCAGAAAAGTTTTCAATAAAATACAACCCCATTCCTAGACTAGAAACACTATAAAGTGTAGGAAGAAATGTAACCTTTCTTAAAATGATAAGTTGTATCTATCTGTTGTTGTTGTTGTTGTTGTTGTTGTTTTTGTTGATACTTTGTTCTCCAAGAAGACAAATGACATCACGAGAGTGATGTCTTGATTTTCAAGCATTATTTGTATGATGAGGTTAAACTAGAAGCTTTCTCAATAAGATTCTGATTTTAAACAAGGATGTCCATCATCACCACTATTATTTAAAATTGTACCCAAAATGTTACCTATAGCAACAAGACAAGAAAAAAATTGAAAGAATAAAAATAAGCAATGAAGAAACAGAGCTATCACTCTTTACAGATGATAGGGATACTTAAAGAACCCTGCAAAATCAACTAAAAAACTAATTGAAACACAAATAACATCTTTAACAAAGTTGCAGAATATAAAATAACTCCACATAACAAAACCAACTAAAAAACTAATTGAAACAAACAACATCTTTAACAAAGTTGCAGAATATAAAATAACTCCACATAAATCATCAGTATTTCCATATATTAGCAACAACACATAGCAGGAAGAGAAGAAAGAGAAATTCCATTTGAAATAACTTCAGACAATATCAAATGGGAGACTACCTAGCAAGACAAACCCAGGAACCATAAAAACACAATTATAAAACACTTTTTACACAAATAAAGACAGATCTAAACTGGAGAAATGTTAATTGCTCGTGGCTGAGCCAATATAATAAAAATGACAATTCTACCTAAATTAATTTATTTATTCAGTGCCATACCAATCAAACTACCAAAGAATTATATTATAGATCTAAAAAAAAAAAAAAAAATTTATCTTGAAGGACAAAAGGTTAAGAACAGGCCTGCATAACTTTGCCGCATGCCAAAGGATTTTAGGCAGCCAGAGGAAAAATGTAGAGGAAAACATCCTTGTATGTAGAAGAATCCTTTGGAGTGCTGCAAGTGGCTGGAGAGTCCATATGTGGCTAGTACACTGGGCAAGTTATACAGGCCTGGTTAAGAATATTAAAGGAATCAATGGAAAAAAAAGTGAAGGAAAGCGACCTAGTAGTACCAGATTTTAAACTATATAACAGAATGGTAATCATCAAAACAATCTGGTGATGGCTAAGAAATAGAGTGATGAATCAGTGGAATAAATTAGTACACAATACATATATTATTCTAGTGCTCGATAAACCCAAAGATCCAAGCTTTAGGGGCAAAAATCTCTTTATTTGACAAAACTTTCTGGGAAAACTGAAAAGTAGTTTAGCAGAAAGTGAGCATAGAACAACATCTCACACCCTATTCTAAGATAAGACCAAAATGGGTCCATTTTTTAGATAGAAAGGGTAAGTATCAGCCTAATTAAGCCAATAAGTGGAGCAGTAAAAAAACTACCTGTCAGATCTATTACCCCTGATATTGGAAAGTCCTCTAGCATTATATAACACCAGCTTTTGGTTGCGAAAAGACACTATTTTATATAGTCCTGTGTTTTTTATTATTTAATGTAAATTTACATTGTATTTCTCTAAAGCTTTTTCATACAAATATATATGTGTGTATAAAATTGATATCTCTTTTTAACATTGTGAAAATTTCTCCCAGTGTATCTCCCCATTACCCTGTCCCAAAGAACCACATCATATAACAAATAATATATTTTAAAGAGAAGAGAGAAATCAACAAAACTGATATGCAGAAAAAGTCTGAACTATGAGCAATGTGCCACACCCATGAACCTCCCTGATGTTCAAAGGAGTGAGGAGAGAAACTCAAAGATTTTAATATCTTCTCAAATCTCTTCTTTGTAATCATGCTTGTTGTCTGCAATATTATAATATTCCCTTTTGATGGTTTTGTGGTTGTCTTTCTGTTTGCATTGTAGTTGTTGTGTCTGTTGCTTCCTTGGCTCTGCTTACTTCACTTTGCACCAATTCATATAGATCTTTCCATGCTTCTTTTTCCATCTATCAAAGTCATGTGTTTTTACTATTTTTATTTTTAACACAGTCTACTGTGTTCGTGGTTTTTGTAATATTGAACCAAACTTGCATTTCTGGTATAAATCCAACCTGATAATGGTGTATAATTTTTAATATGTTACTGTAGACTCTTTGCTATTATTTTATTTAATATTTTTGTCTCAATACTCTTTAGAGACCTGCCTGTCATTAGAGATCTGCCTGTCATTTTCTTTCTCTTCTTTCTCCCTTTAGAATTTAGATATTAAAACCATATCTTTCTCATTGAAGGAATTTGGTAGGATCCCTTATCTCTCTCTCCCTCTCTCTCTCTCTCCCTCTCCCTCTCTCCCTCTCTCTCCCTCTCTCCCTCTCTTCCTCTCTCTCTCTCTCCCTCCCTCTCTCTCTGTCTCTCTCTCTGTCTGTCTATGTGTATACAAACAATTTATATGATATTGAACTTAATCTTCCTTCAAACATTTTGATAGACGACTTGTAAGTCCATCTGGACCTTGGGTTTTTTCCTTTCAGGGGTTCATTTATGACCTATTCAATTTCTTCATCTGAGAATGGGTCGTTTTTATTCTCTATTTCTTGTTTTGTTAATCTTATTCTTTTGTATTTTGTAAGTATTCATTCATTTAATCAAAATTATCAGTTTTATTGACATATAATTGGGCAAAATAATTTCTAACTACTTCATTTCCTTTCCTTCTGTTGTAAATTTTTCTTTTTAATTTTTAAGTAATGATAGTTTGGTTTTCCTCTTATTTTTATCAAATTAGCTAGTACGTCCATTTTGTTAACTTGTTTTTCTTTTCCAAAAAAAAATATCTCTTAGTTTTCTTTATCAATTCAATGGATTTTCGATTTTATCTCCTTTCATTTTCAGAATTTCCATTTTTGTTTAATTGGATTTTTTTTAAATGTGTTGTCTTTCTAGTTTGCTCTATTGCTTTTCTCTTGTTGATGAAAGTAATCAGAGAGATATATTTTCCTCTAATGAATACTTTGACTAGATTCCAAAAGTTTGAGTGTTCTCTCATTGTTGAATTTTATTTGATAAAATTATCTGTTATTTCTGTGACTTGTTCTTTGACTCACATATTTTTTAGGATTATATTATTTAGCCTCCATTTTTGTTTGAATCTTTCAAAGGTCCTTTATTGATCAGAATTTTATTCTGTTGTGGTCAGTAAAGGATTTTCAACTGAAACTCTTGAAAGAAACTGAGACTAAGACAGTGTTAATGTCATTCCATGGAAAGTTAACCACCATTCCGTTTGTGAGACAGAAGCAGAAGAAATTAA